GGAATGTTAGAAAATTAAAAGCATTTTGGTTCCTCTGTTAATTATTTAAAATCATGTATCTTTGTTTCAGGCAAAGTCCTGTATAATTTACTGGGACTTAAAACAGCAGTGGATTTTGGCTCATGTCCATGGAATTTGATAACTTCAAATTTCATAAAAATATTTTACTTAAGAATTATTTGTGGTTGAACAATATTAGAATACATATTTGATTTCCTCTTGCATGTTACACAAATCTGTTTTGCACTTAGTAAATTTACTACACGGCCTTTAGTTCACATAAGAAAATTGCTTTTCTACATGCTTCATCACAAAAGTACCTAAACATTTTGAAGCATTGGTTAAAAAAAATACACAATTACATGATACATTTTACATTTTTTCTTTGCAGTCTTTAACTCTTCAGCATCTATAGCTTAATAATAGCTATTCAAAGTAAGAGAACTACACTGAAAGATGAATTTACTGATGAAGTTCCAATAACGAGTCAAATGAGTTCCAAGAGGTGTTTTTCATACCTAAGTGAAGAAGTTTTTTAAGATTTCACAGTCTGTCTGTCTGTCCATTCCTCCCTGTTTCCATTTTTGCTGTGCTTTCTCCCATTTCTCATGCACAGGAAAGAGGGACAGAAATCACTCCTCATGAGAGCATAGAGAAAAGTGCTTCCTTCCTAACATTCACCCACTCTGCTCTGAAAAAGCTTCCTGGAGGACACAGGCAAACTATATTAAAAGAAAATCAACCACAGAAGTAAACAAAAAAAGCAGAAAAATTGCATTGCCATTATACAGACCTCACTTTGAGCACTGTGACAGAGGAGATACTCAGGTGGGCAGGAAAGTATTATAAAATACTGACAGCATTTTGATAGAAGCATTTATGGACATGTACTTAAAAAGAAATTCAGGCAGTTTGCTTAGGAAATTCTGCTTAGGCCACTGCAATGATCAGATTACACATTAAAGGTTTTGTGGAAAAGGCATGCCTTGTCTGAAGTTACTTATGAATTAATGTAGTTCAGATATAATATAGGACTTTAGATTAATGGTTGCAAAATTTGGCAGAGCTTAGTCTTCCTCCCCCAGAAAATTATCTTTTAGGTTCAGGCCTCCTGGCTCAAGGTTAAGAATAATTTTGAAATACTTTTTTCTAAGATCCTAACCTTAGAAGAATTCAGTCAGATTTCCACAACTTGAGCTTTGGATCAGCACAGCCTCAGTCTCCCAGACTTTATGAACACAGACAAAAATAAAACAAAATATTATAGGCCAGATTAAGTCAGTGAAATGCTCTGGTAACATCTAAATTTATAACTAAAATTGTCAGGACTTGTTTTTTCCTTGAGGCCATCTGGCACAGTCTGGCCACGTTCCCTCTATTAAATGCTCTGGTGTTTTCAACAGGGTAACACAACCATGCCATGCACTGAGAACAGAGGAGCTGACTTTAGCTTGATTGTGAATAGGATTTTTTATGCAGATTTTAATCATGTTAGAGAAAAAAATGACAGAAATTCTATTAACAAATCATCAGTATGATTTAAGTCCAGTGCCTAAGTCCAGGCTGTACCACGCCTTAATTTATAAATAACTGATGAGCCTTGTTCTAATTTAAATCAATAACACTACCCATTTCCTCAAAATCACATTTGTAGAGGGGATCATTTTTGGCCTTTTAACCAAGTCTTGAGTTTAAATAAAGGCATAAAGATAACTTGGACATACAGAGACTGCCCTGTTTTTATTCATTTCTAATCACAAGCAGCTATCTTGATTTTGTAATGGGGACCAATTTTATAACTCTGTGTTTGTATGCTTCCTTCTCCAGCATGCTGTTTATGGTGCTGCTTCAGCAAATGATTGTCTTTTCCTACTCCATATTCAATTCTGGTACACCTTTGTCACCCTAGAAAAATATAAAGGAAAACTATACACAAATACATAATGAGATTGTAAGACTAAACCTTAATAAATCACAAGTATGTAACAAAGAATATAAAAGTTTGTTTAATGATTTCATTAGAAATTAAATATTTGACATTTGAAATGCCCATAGCAGGTGTCCTCTGCCTCAGTCTACAGTTCCTGAGGGGTGACTGTGGAAGCCATCTACCAGCAGATCTATTTGTGAATCCCACTGTTTTCCTATTTTGGGGTGTTTTCTCAGCTGAAATGTGGTGCAAATACTCAAAACATTGACAAAAAAAAAAGTGCGTGATATATGATCCACATTCTGAAGGCAATGACAAACTGATATGCTTTACTGATGATTAAAAATTTGACAAAGAAACATAAGCAACGGAACAAATTGGGAATGCAACATTTTCAAATATGAAGTATATGACTATCCATGGAAGTCCTACACAGCCTATATAACAGCTGAGTAACTAGCAATCCATTAGCTTTTCCCAGCCTCTGGCAACTTTCTCAAAAAGTGGCCTTTGGTCCCTGCTTTGAGAGTGTTGCAGAAAGTGAAAGAAAGGAAAAAGCAAGTGAGCTAATAGGGATCTTCAAGTACGTCATTAAAAATATGTTTGGAGAATTGTTTCTAAAATACAATGCTGAATTTCAGCATTTTTTTCTTAAATTGTATTTTTTCTAAATTCTAAAAGAATTTAGAAATTCCATTAAACAAATAACAAAATTAATTAAAATCAGCATAAGCTACTTCATATAAGAAATTTGAAAGTGCTAATGAAAAAATGCAATATCCAGCTGCTTTGGAAAAAAAAAATTAAGAATGTTCTTTTTGAATTGCAGAACATTTTTTTTTGGTAGAAATGAAAGATTACTTAATAAATTAGGCCTACTTTATTTTAAGGTTTTATTACAGTATTTGGGGAGAGATGCTAGTTTATAATCACATGATTCATAAAACATGAAGTCTAGATGACTGACTGTAGTACCAGTTCAGCACTAGCTGGTACAGTTTTCTACTATAACTAGCATATTGAACTTAGTATTGAACTTTGCCCATGAGAAAATACTAGAAAAACAAAACTGAATTAATTCCATAATTCTTCATCCTACAGAAACTGTGATGCTTCTAATTATTCATGCTAATAAACTGAATTGAGAATTGGTTGTAAGGATGATATTATAATGTTAATGCTGTAATTTGTGAGTGTTAAAACCTCACTAAATATGAGTGAAAATAAAAAAGAAGGCTGAGAATTAAATGGAACATTTTCAATAAATGCCTGTTCAAAAAAGAAAACTTTTAAAATTATTTTCTTGAAATAAAATTTTTATAAAATTGAGATTATGTATGTTAAAAATACAATAATGGCTACAAAGATTTATTTAAAAATAATAAAAATATTTATCACATTTGTTAAATACTCTTTTACCAGGAGTTAGTTAGCATCCCTCAGTGCAAACAACTCTGGAACCCTAAACAACACTGGAATTACAAACAGAGTCTGCACCATTCAAATTAATTTTTCTATGGATAACACTTAGAAACAAGTAATCCTCCTGGCAGGATTGAATCACCTGCATCAGTCACTTTATTTGTGCCCAAGCTTTACGTGGACAGAGAAGCACCTGTTTGAAGTAACTGCCCCACTGCAGTCTGAAAAAACAGCTCAAGACCTGAAGGAGAGAATTTAGCTGACTAAATTTAAGCACTGAGTTTATGTAAGAACACTCCCCACTTGAGACCTTTTAAAGGTACCAACCTCTTTTCGTTAGGCTACAGTAACTTTAGGCTGTAACTTTATCAGGACACCTGACAAGACTCCTAAAATTTAGGGAGGACTTTGAGGAATTCACTCCTTATCCACGGCATCTGCTTAAGATATTCTACTTGCTCGATTTTGATCGTTTTATTTTCTTGATGCTGCCTCAAAAGTACAAGTGAGAAAAACTGAAACTTCTGTCACAAAAACCTGCAATATCTGGTATCACTTACAGGGAATATGCCCTAAGACTAAAATGTCTTCTTTTTAATAATTTTTTCAATAGCAGGACGAATTATCTGTGTATTTAAGATTATGATTTCGGAAGGAAAGTTAGGCGTATATCGAAAGTAAAATATTTTTTTTCCTCAGCAAGGACAAAATCCACTTTTCTTGAATAAGAGTCAAGGTTAAAGCTATAGGAAAAAGAAAGGCAGATGTCTCAGAAAAATATTTATGTTTTGTTATGTTCATCTTATCTTGGAAGCATAAATAAAAGCTAAAAGCTCTTCCCAAGCACACAGAGCATTAGAGTAAAGGATAGGTGTCAAGTCAATCTATTAATGAATAAATGACTGGGTCATGGAAGCTGTATTAAAAGATAAGAAAACCCTATGGCAAGTTTCTTAAAACTAAGTGTCTATAGTCAGGCTTCTTAGCTGAGTCTAAAGCTCTTCACAGTTGATACTTAAACACACTCTTAACATTACCTTGCAAATACACTGGGGCTACTGAGGATTCTTAGAGCCAAGTTTGTGCTTAGCTATGTCCCTAGATCTGAAATAGAGTATTTAGTGTTTCGCAAGAGCTAAACTCTCAGGCCTTGAAAGAGCCCAACCACAGAAATACAATTTTTCAAAGATACAGGTGGATGATGAAAGTTCAATTCCTACAGCAGCTGTCTTCAGTAATTACTTATTTTCTACAGTGAAGACTGTAGTATTGTCTGTATGCCCAACACTTTTCAAAACAGACTTAGAGGCCAAATTTTGGACATACACTTTTCAAATGTTACTCCACCTTACTATGTAATAAGGGGTAGAATGTATCATCATGGAAGCAGAAATCAAAACAACTCTACAAATATTACTGAATGAATATTCACTTGGAATTTTAGATCAATGGTGAAGATAACAAGCTTTGACTTAGTATTTTTTAACTCATAGATTCAAAATATATCAGATTGTGAAAACTCTTAACATTACAGATAACACAACTATAGGCTTCTTATAAAATCACCAAGTTGCAATATTGTGAATGAAATAACTACTTTTGTTAAGAAAATAATTTATTTTCCATAGTCACAACATATAATCTAGTATCAGTTACTGTACATATATTTTCTTGCAATACTCTGACTGTCTATGAATACTGGATCCACAGATGCCACTTTTGCTGCTATAAAGGAGTGAATACAGTGTAAAACTGACGTCAGATCCTGAAATTCAAGTTCCTGAAAGAAGTAAGAGAAAAAAAAAAGAAAAAAAAATAATTAAATTCGGGTTTATAAACATTTTACATTAATAAAGAGCAGACTAGTTAGAAAACAATAATGGCCTTAACATGAAAATTGAATTTTTATAGGAAACTGTAAAATTAAAACTGTTAAGAATAAAATCTGTATATCCATACCTTGCTCACTGACAGTGCTGTGTGTCAATTTAGTTTTCACTCTATGATACTTTATTGTTTATATTGTACTCAGGTTGTACAATGAAATCAGTCAACTTGAAAGAACATTCAAATATTGCAACATAGAATAATTCAGGTTGGAAAAGATATTGAAGATCACTGAGTTAAACTATTAACCCAGCACTGTCAAGTTTACCAGTAAACCATGCTGTTAAGTGCCACATCTGCACTTGACATATCCCCTGGGATGGTGACTCAACCACTTCCCTACATAGCTTGTTCCAATGCTTGACAACCTTTTTGGTGTAGAATTTTTTTCCTAATATCCAGTCTAAACTTCCCCTGGCACAAGCTGAGCTCATTTCCTTTCAGTCTATCTCTTGTAACTTGTTTCAGGCAGTTGTAGAGAGTGGTAGGACCTTTTCTGAGACTCCTTTTCTTCAAGCTAAAAATCCCCAGCTCCTTCAGCCACTCCTCAAATGTCGTGTCCATCCAATCCTTCATCAGCTCCGTTGCCTTTCTTAAAGTGAAGGGCCCAGAACAGGACACAGCACTTGAGGTGTGACCTCACCAGTGCTGACAATCCCTGCCCTGGTCCTGCTGGCCACACCATTGCTGCTACAGGCCAGGATGCCCTTGGCCTTCTTGGCCGCCTGAGCAAAATGGTTCATGTGCAGCTGCTGTCAACCAGCACCCCTCTTCCCACCAGGCACCATTTCCCCTGGTCCTTTCCCACCAGGCACCTTCCCAGCCACTCTGCCCTCAGCCTGCAGCACTGCCTGGACTCAGCACTTGGCCCTGTTGAACATTTTTTAAGTATTTGACAAGTTAAGGCTGTTTGAGGATGATGAGGTATCAAGAAGGGGAGGGTGAGTAGATCACATCTTTGTCGGCCTCTGAAGGAGAGATGAGAAGCCAGAGGCAGGGTGAAAGATAAGGTGAAGTCACACCACACCCTAATGATAGAAACAGACATGGCTGGGTATGAAATTCAAATGCCCTAATTCACAAAGAAAGGCAGAATTACGCCTAAACTGTTCTCAGATTTGCTTGACTTCTTACAACATATTTCATCTTCTGTGCACAAGTTAACTTTCTTTTTTCCTATGAACCCATACAGTAATAGAGAATAGACTGACACAATGTCATGTAAATATGACATAAAAAACAAATATAATGTAAAAAACACGTTCAATTTAAGTGATACTACTATGTGGGAAGTTTGCAGTTGGTAAATATATTGTGGGGATACTTGAGACAATTTTTGGTTTGAGCAGAAGACTATTTTCAACAATCTGTTGGTAAACTAGTTTGTTGAGGCACACCCTGTATGCTTGTTTTTAAGCAAAAAGCAAAGCACTGGGCTTCTGCTTTTTCTGTAACAGAATTTTATAGTATGTTCTAAACTAAATTGGCCCAAACCAAATATTTGGAATTCAAACTTACTGTCCCATAAAAGCTCACCATCACACCATTTTGCTGTCCAAGGCCAGGTATTTACTAGGCACAAGTGGTCCTAGTACTAATGAATCGTTCAGTAGTATTTGTGGGGCATGATTTTGTGACCCTGTTTGGGCCACAACTGGGAAATTTTTGGGAGTGGAGGGACCTGCATGCAAGGCCTCTTCAAGGAGAGACCAGGGCTGCCCTGTGCCAGATTGAGCAGGTTCTAGCCAGGTCCAACTGATGCACCACCGGGCATGGCTGAGCCCCACAGAGAGACAGGGGTGCATCAGGGTAAACGTAGGTAAGAATGGGCAGAAAATTCCCCAAAAATGTAACAAGGCCAGTGAAGCAGAGGGTACGCCATGGCAGACCAGGAAACACCCTCGAAGGGACTGAAACTGATGGAGAAGCCATAGTGGAGCAGAGGAAAGCATGAGTGTATTTGAGCCCATGACATCATTGTCCTAAATTTTGGGGGCAAAAAGCTCCTGTTTCTTTCATTTTAACTGACATTTAACTGACATTTGAAGAGCAAATATGGGAGGAGGTTTCTTAAAATACATTTTATTGACAGTAGATGTTGAATTTAAATATTAATATAAATTAATATAAACACTTTAAGGAAAAAACCCTATAATGCCACTATTTAAATATCCTTATCTAAGTTGACTAAAACTAAAATTATATACACAATCATGATTATTAATTAAATATGAAATATGAAACATGAAATATTGGCCTCAATACATAAGTTTTGGTTCAATCAAATATTTTACATCTACTGAAAGTCCATCTTCAAAATCAAGCAATTAAAAAATGTGACCATTCCCATTAATCTCAGATTTGCTCTAAAATCAACTGAAATCACCCAACAATTTCACCTTAGGTTCTGGCATCCAACACCCCAACCAAACAGAGACAAACAAAACAGAGAGAAGGGAGGCCTTCACAGAGTTCCCATTTCTCTACTCCAGCTTTATGCACTTCAAATCTGTAAATGTTTATGGAGATAGGCAAACAGAGGGAAGCTAATACAGACTGTAGACGGGATTTCAGACTGTTCTAACAACATTATTTGCAGAGCTTTGGGTTTAGAAAAGGGCAAAGACAGGCACATCTCATCCCTGTGAGTCAGACTTTCCCAATGTCCCAACTGCAGAGTCCTCTCTGTTTCCATCACAGTTTAGAGTATGGATCAAACTGCAGTAGCTCTTCCTCTGTATCTGAGAGAAGTTGTCTAATCTCTTGTGAATAAACTTTTGAATACTAATATGCTCTGGCTTCTGTAAGATATCTACATAGAGGTGGAAGACTAGCAGTAACACTAAACCTATGTCTTACGCGACAACAGCACTACTTTCTGCAGTTAATACTGCAAGTCCCGTTTCTGGATTACTTTCAAGGTGGTGCCAATTTTGAAAGTTATTACAGAGCTGAAAAGCAAAATGTGTGGCATATAAGCACTTCTCATGCAATTCACCAGCTGGTCCACTCCTCTTGTCTCTTCACTATTTTATGTTAGGTTTGTGCAGGGATAAGCAATCCTCCGGGATCATAAAACAGGAGCAGAGCCCTGGAGATGTTGTCTTACATCTCAGTTAGATGTGGCCACCCATGACAGCATCAGAAAAGTGGGGCTCATCTGAGGCCTCATGCACCAGAAGCTTCTAGAAATGCAGCTTATCACAGTAGTATTTGATCAAGAAGTCCACTAATGGAGTAAGGCTGTGGACTTTGTGTCTGAAGGATGTCTGATGCCTGTGCTGGCTGCCTTTGCAATCCTGCAGCCCACTAGTCAGGTGTAGATAATGAGGAATAGTCACACATACCTAAGGATAAGCTGGGGTAAGGGTTTGCTTACATGTTGATTACAACAGGGAAAAGGGAAGAGGACTGGGGGTTAATTTGAAAATATGAATTTAGTAAAAAATAAGGATGCCTTTCTGACTTGGGAAAATGTAGCTGTTGCACAGTCTGAAGACTGTGACACAATATGTCTCTTTACTATCTTAAATATAGTTTTATAGATGGAAATGCAACCTCTTTAGCTTTGGAATGTAATATGAATTCTTCCTAGAAAATAACACCAATGACATTTCTTTCAAACAAATACATTGCTCTAATAGTTTAGTTTTTTAAAGTAACATTTGTCTATGTAGTCAAACAGGCAGATGAGTAACTGATCATTTTATTTGTACTATACCATCTAAGCACCCTTATGTTTGCTTTCCTTATCTGAGTTTGCTGCTTTTTTTCTTTAATTGAGACTGTCAGTTTTTAAGGAGAATCTGTGCATGTCTAATATTTCAATAACCAAAGCTCTTTCAGTTTAATGTATGTTCCGTAATAAGTACATTAAGTACAACAAAGGCACTGGAAGGAAGACACTGAGAGAATAACACACAAGATTGGATTAAAGCAGTGGGAGGACAAGACTGCAAAACTTCCTGCTGGTACTGAAAATACAAAAAATGAGCACACTGCACTGACCTCCTTCACTGCATGTGCGTAGCCAAAGAAGAAAAATATATGTTCTTATTTCATCTACCCACTGGGACAATTGCATTTATTACATATCATAAAGAGCTTGACAAGCCTGTTGCATTATTACCATGCATCCAATTTTATTGAGACCTTCTGAGAGCTGTTGAATCACTATTTGAACAAGACATAAGTCTGTATCACATGGAAGACAAATAATGGAGATGCTGACAGATAGTGTTATCGTGCCTTGTGCTTTTCATAACTTGAAAGACACTGGTAAGCCTCAGTGTAGGTTATTTGTTGACCAGTGCAGAACTGTTACCACTGTATCGTTCAAGATATGTTTTCCAATCAGACTGATTTTTTTAGTTGTTGTGGGCTTTTGTTGTTGTTTGTTTGTTGGTTTGGTTTTGTTTTTTTTTTTTTCAGGTTGTAATCCCAAATAAAGATATCCAGGTTTTAGCTCCAGACAACACCAAATTCAAAATGGAAACCAAAAATTTAAATTTTATTCTTTATCTCAGCAAATATAGCAGGGCTTGGTTGTCATATCATGGATGAGAAGAATAAGCAGGGTTTTTAAGTTATCTTCTTGTAATAGACAAGAAATTTATGAGACCAGCAACACCTAGTTGAGGCTTCAGTATGGCCCACAATACTCCACTGGCCACAATGGTTTCTTATCTTTCTTCAATAAATATTTAAGACTAAGTAAGATGACAAGTAAATGGAAATGCTCAATTCAAATAGGCTTGGTAAAAAAGTCTTATTTTTCAGATATATAGCTACAGTTTAGCAAAGGGAAATAAAGCATCAATACAAACCTGAAAGTATTAAGATTTTTTTTCTTTTTTTGGGTAAAGAATATCTACTATTCCTAAGGTTACTTGTAATTTCTCAATACTAAAGGTAGGGTAAGTCAGGGAAGTACTGAAGTGGGAAACTATAAGGAGTTGTAGGGAATATGAAGAACCTGAAGGAGAAACAACTGACAGGAATATTTTCCTTATTATCTTTCAACAGAAAACTTTTTTAATGGAGAAATGCACTGCTCACCTAAAATTAAAATGCATAGGAAGAAATACTTGGCTTAAAATTTAGAAGCCAAAATAGGAGAAGAAACATCACATCTAGCTAGTAAACAAGACACAAAAATAGAATTCCCAAGTGTGGTTTTTTTACTCCCAAGAATTCATAATAATATAGAATTAGACATAGTTTGGAAAACTCTTTTGCAACCTTGACTCTCTATTTTCCACCAAGGGAATGTAAGTCATCTACATCAAGCTTTTTTTTTTTGTGCACAGTGGCTCATTTACCCAGGAAAAATGAAACTTCTGTTATTTGATAACATTTTTATTTCTTGTTATTGGCAGCATTTCATCATATAACACCATCTGGTCCCATGAAATCTCTTTCAGTGCAATAAGCAGAGACAAATACTGGACTGTTCTATGGGTATTAGTGCTGGGCATTTTCCAGCCAGCCTGTAACTCTCAAGTCTAAGAAATCACACCATTTAGGTGGTGGGCATAGTTGATGATATATACCAGTTATCTGAAGTGGAGAGGCTGCACAGCTGTGTCCCAGTCCCATTAAATGTGAAATCCTAGAGGGTACATTGCACTTTGCCGAGACAGTTGTAAAAGGTGTAATCACTGAAGTTCTGATAAATCATCAGCTACTTAATATCAGCCTTTCCTCCGGCCTTTAATGAGCTTTTTTGGGATCTTCCAACATTTGGAACACATATGTACTTTTAGATACATAGATATTAAGAATTGTGTATGAACCAATCACATATCGACTTCTATCTGATACTTTCAAGGTGAATTTTGCCAACTACAAGATGTTTTCATTAAAGCTATGTAAAAGAATAATTTTTTAATGTTTTAACAAATATGTCTCCTGAAGAAAATTTACTGCAAAATTAACATTATATTAAGACATGTATTATATTTACTTCAAAATTAACATTATATTATAATAATTTTACAGATAACCAAATTTTCATAAAAATACTAAAATTTACAATTTTTCTATGAAAGAGTAAAATTGGGTAAAACTAATTAAAAGCAATTTAATTTGCATAAAAATAAAAAGAAAATAAAATTTTAAAAATCAGATTGTTTACCACAACAGAAAGAGGAATGAGAGTATTAAAGTAATAGAATTCCATTACAAGCAATGGAATTGCAGCCATTGGCTAATCACACACAGGGTCTATCTAATGATTTAATGCACAAAGATACACAAAGTAGTTTATGCATGAGTACAATCTTCCTGTCTGATCTGAAACAAGTTATGTAAGCTCACTGCAGCAGAGGATCACATATGAAATGAAGTCAGTAGTCCTTTTCTGTCTCCAAGGTCTACTGTGAGAAATGAAGTGGAAATGGCCTGCGACTGGACAAATTATTCTACATAGTACTTTTTGTAGCAGATATTATAATACCTTTTACAGTAGAGCCAAGGGGCAACTCAGGTCAAGCTTGCTGATGAAATCCTGAATAATTTACTAATTCAGATGTATAAAGAAATATTGCATGTACTGTAACTTTATGATAAATAAGAAAGGTTATAGACTTCCTTACAATTATTTTAAACATTAGAAGGATAGGTAACATATATATTTTGTGTATGGTCAGTATAGAAAAATATTACTTCATAAGTGACTCTAACTTGTACAACTCCAGGTAAGAGTATTTAAAAACTTTCATAGGTCTTCAGATACTTTTCTCTGGTTTCACTGGATTTTGTCAACCACAACACAGTTGAACCACAGTCTTATCTTCCTTTTCTATGCCATATCATGCCATGTTCTCCTTCTTCTTTTTAAAACCGTATAACTGAAAAACTGTTGGGTTGTTTGGTTTGTTATTTTTTTTATTATTATTATTATTATTATTATTATTATTATTATTATTATTATTATTATTATTATTATTCAACAAGCTTGGCATAAAATTTTAATTTTACTTTATTTTTTTTAAACACAATTTTTAGACATTATATCTACTATAGGTTGACAGAATAACTTCAGAGAAACTATTTTTCTAAAAAACTAAAATATTATCATAACACAACTTAATAACTGGCTTGTAGAAATAGTGCAGTATATCTGTGGGTATTACATTGCTTCTGTTTATTGTGGAGTTTCTAAAGAATTGGCAAAAATAAATAAGCTGTGATGTGTTCACCATATGTATGTCCCAGTAAATGGGATTTTTGATGCCTTGACAGTCATTTTATGTCATGTTTAACTAAATTGAAAAAGAGGATGTTGCTTACCTTTGTCTCAATTTGTTTGGTGTCTATATTTTGAAAAAGCAGCTTTACTCTTGTTTTCCCATCATCTGATGAGCCTTTGAGCTGAGAGAATTTAAACCTCCATAGCACATTCTAAAGAAAAATAAATTTGATTAAGGACTCTGCTACATGTTTTTATCTAGAACTATAGAATGATGATCAATATACGTGTACTAAAATAAAGCACTACAGCAGTAATGCAGTGCATGATAACAGGCTCTTTGCAGAGCAATTAAAATTAACATTTCTGTACCCTTTGTGAAAGCAAAAGATGCAATATTAAAATTCATTAATTAAACTATTTTGAAATTCTCTGAGATATAAATGTTTCAATTGCCTACATTGCACAAAGACAGCAAAAGCTTAATTCCTAAAGATCCATGAGGATATTTGTATCAGTTTCAGTATGAAAACAATGCCATGCCATATCTTGATCTTTCGTATTTCAGTTGGCTCATTTGCATAACGTAGATAATTGTGAATTACACAGATATTGCAAAGATGAATTTACTGATGTGTGAAATGTGGTTTGAAATTCTCAAAAAAGCTATAGAAATGCAAAAATATTATTATTGAACATAGTCTCAGAAACCACAAAAATGTGTCCTACATTACATAATGGTTTGTAAAATATATGACTTCTAAGCTTCTTGGTCTCCCACAGGTTTATCCATGGCATCTTAGTAGTGCTGGCAAAATCTAGATTGACAGATATGCTTTAATATTTATGAAAATATTTTGTAAAAACAAAAATTGGGAAATTATTTTTGAAATCAAGGTTATTTTCTGTATTTATCTGAATGTTTTCTATTCATCACCTGAAAATGCATAATTGAAAAAAAGTACACAAGGTAACAGCTTGCACCTGGACTTCCTGTTGATGCTTCCTTTAATATCTATAATCTTAATGAAAATTCTCTGCACATGTTGAAGTGTGCTTCAGTTCCTGGACACTGCTGAAGAAACACAATTTAAATACTTGGGACCTTATTTCAAAAGCACACATGGAAAAAAAGTTTGCTCTGCTCCATTTTCCAACATGCTTCTTAAAATATTTTTGTTAAGTAGACCAGTGCTACCAGTGGGCTTCAGAACCCTATTCATAGTTTAAAATGGAATGTCCTATACAAAACCTATCTACTGGTTCCCTGCAGACATAAATGTCACTGAGTTCTTAGAGAGATATAACAGATGAAGAAAAACAAGTATTCCACAGCACTGTGTTGGTGCTTAAACTTTACATTCATGAACAGATTTTAACTGGGTCCAGAGGGCCTAATTAGACCACCTGAAAAGTGTTAAAAGCTTAAATGAGTTTGGCTCTAAACAGGATAGATGAATGTTTGCTATGTAATAACTGCTAAGGTGGAGATGAATCAAGAACTTGGGAACAATGTAGTAATAATAAGCATTGCTGGAGTCATCATCTCTCTCAACAGTTGACACCAAGTGGGAAAGATGAGAAGTAGAGAGTGCTGGAAGATGGCAGAAAATGCACACTTTGGGATCCCTTTATATTGGAGGAGCGGCTGGAGGCACAGGATGGGGAAGATGAACCAACCAAGCTGACAAGATAAAAAGAATCCCTACAATGAGATATAAAGCAGATGCAGGCTACAGAAGTAGCTCAGTGATGGGCCCAAAAAAGATAAAAGCTGAATGAATTAAGCTTCTGCCCATCAAGAGCCTGGAATAGAATATGCAGGAAAAGAAACTGTTCTAGAAAAGTTTTTTAAAGATATTTTTCTTGTGCTGGAGAGATGAATGAGAATATGGGAGAGAAAAAGCCTTGCAGACACCATGGTCAGTGAAGAAGGGGGAGGAGGTGCTGTTCCTGAAGGATCGCACCCACTGGGAAGGACCCACGCTGGAGCAGTTCATGAAGAGCTGCAGCCCGTGGGAAGGACTCATGCCCGATTCTGGAGGACTGTCTCCTTTGGAAGGGACTCCATGCTGGAACAGGAGAAGAGTGTGAGGAGTTCTTCTCCTGAGGAGGAAGGAAGGACAGAGACAATATGTAGTGAACTACAGCCCCCATTTCCAACATGCCTTTGCGCTGGAGAGGAGGAGATAAAGAAAATTGGGAAGCAGAAAAGTGTGGGGGGAAGGTGTTTTAAGATCTGGGTTTTATTTAGCATTAGAATACTCTGATTTGATTGGCAATAAATTAAACTGATTTGCCCAGGTGGAGTCTGTTTTGCCCACGATAGTCACTGCTGAGTGACCTCTCCCTGCCTTTATCTGGACCCACAAGTCTTTAGCTGTATTGCCTCTCATTTGCCTGACTCATGAGGAAGACAGGGTCAGCCCCCCACACTCCAAAGCAAAAAATTTTGTGCTTTTTATTTCAGAATTTGTAACAATAAGGCTCTTTTAAAATTGGTTTTCAAAGTGTAATAAAGAATGTTTTTCAAGGACTGCATGAGGTGGTTGCCCAAAATTTGAGATCCAGATTTAGTCATAGAGCAGACAGGGGACTGGCCTTTATTTTAATCATCTTCTTTGAACACCTGCTGGGGTGTAAGAGCATTCTTTACATCAGTAGAAGACCTTATTTTTTTCATTAACTTCAAGAAAAAGATTCTTCAGTAAAATTCCTATGTCCCAAATGAACTGTTAATTTTTTGACCACTTTAAGAATTTTTTTCCATTGGTAGGAAATATTCTAAAACAGCTATGCATATAGGAGAGCACAGTAAATTTCAGCTGATAATTATGGGAAGCATGATGAACTGTAGAAGTCTCCCATTACTGCCTCACTCAGGCTTGAGGATGCAGAGAACATCTCCATCTTTCACACAGATGAAGAATAAATGTACTTGAGCTCTCCAGAATTTTTACTGTTTAGCAACAGAATCAGTCTATCTGCTGGTATTCTATGTTTCTCCTTAGGCAAGCAACAATCATTCATCTAAATCCTCCTCATCATCAATACTGAAGGTAGGTACTGTGACACAAAGTTCTATTAATAGAGTAAGGTTATTATTTTAAAGGTGAGAGTACATGCAATCTTTCTTCACATTTAAAAGAAACCCTTTCTATAGGGAGCTTACTTCTTACAGATAAATTATGGTTACACGCACAATGCGTATAATTGTGCAAGAAGCAGAATTCCAGAATGCAGTATCACCTGAGGGAGAGAAGTATATACAAAAGTATGTTCTGAAATTTTGTCCTGCTGCATGGGATGCACATTTAATTAGTCTAAATGTTCATGCAATTTTGGTCATTATTTTTCTGCACTAAGATTTCAATAGATTTGAAATTTGAGGGCATTTTGGTCCCAAACCCACAAAATGCCAACATGCAAAAACTAGATCCTGCATCAGTATTTCAAAATGCAGTGTGTTCCCTCTTTTCTCAGAATGACTGACTGAATTTTTAAAAAATATTTGAGAAGACCGATTTTCTACTGAACAGTTCTATTAATGCAAAAACATTTTTTGTATATATGTTTTCTTCTACTATGAAAAAAATGTTAAAATCCACTTAGAATAATATACATTAAAGTACCACTAAATTATACAGAAAATAGTAGCATTATAGACAGGGCTTGGAAGCTGGCATCTATCATTAACCATTCCCTGTAGGCACTTTCTATATAGCCACTGTTTTGCAAGATAAGTGCATCTTTGAAAATGTAATCTTTTAGATTCTGACTTTGAAAAACATTTGCCTTTATTCTGTTTATTTTAGACATGACCTACATTTCTTATGATGGAAGAATAATTAATCCTATTTTACTTTTGCAGCTTCAAAACAAATAGAATCAGGTGACATTTCATTTTTTTATGACTTGTAATCTTTTATAAATCTTTAAGTTTCTTTGTTATAATAAACCAAGTTTTCTGCTAAATATAACCTTCTTTTGCTTTTATTACTTGAAAAGGAAGTTACTTTTTTATATCTTTCTTCAAAATGCATCTTTACATGCTATACAACTCTAATGGCCCCTTTGAAGTCCCAAACTGACTACATTTCAGTAGGGCTAAATAAATAAATAGTACAGTATATTGGAGAAATAAATACTGGACATAAACATAAAGAAAATGCAATAGATGATAACTTCAATAACTATAAAACAATACAGAGTTATGTTTTCCTTTTCTTTTACTCTTACCTTTGTTTTACTGTCAAAACAGGTAAATCCTAGAGCAAAGTCGACTGTGAAACACAGGGTATCCCCTTGCCAACTGCACATATATGTTTTAGACTGAAAAAAAAAGGCATGATCTTTGAGAGAACAACCATCACTGTAAATTATTGTATTAAAATAATATTTTATGCAGGTATTTTTGGCTGGGAAAACACTCAGCTGACAGCACTGATACTCCTTTATTACTATGTTTGAAAATAGTCAAAAATTTCTGACTGTAAATTAGTGTCCCATCTGTCAGCTAGACATTAACTGCAGGTTTTTTATATTCAAGTCACTCTTCTACAAAATTAATATATTCTTGAAAACCAACCCTTGCAAAAGGCAACACAGAACTAACAAAACCAAATCTGACTACTCTAAACTTCTTAGACCTGAACTATTAATGATTTCTGATATTGCTTCCATCATATGTGCAGGGAACCGTGCCTAAATGTTTAGTCATTGCAATCTATTTCTAGAAAAGCATTCAGTCTGCTTGACTTCTCCATCTGATTTAAACTTTGTAGAGAATCTTTCTATTTTACAACACTTTTTAATTTGGGTCTGGTGACATGCAGGTGCAGCCCTATGCTAAAGTTAGTTAATGTAATTTCAAAGTAAGACCTAATAGCTATCATGTCTTGGTTAGCACTGCTACCTGACAAACTCTGCTATCTATTCACCAATTCCATTATAAATTTTCAGATTAGAAAGGAAAAAAAGGTTGTTTTATCAAAAAAACTCAGAAGTTCAGGTTAAACTTATGAATAAGCTTTACAGTAAAAAGTCAGTTAACTCTTTCCAGGCATTTTGAAGGCTCACTAACTTAGGTGTATGACAGATTCTGGAAAGACATGAATAAGATTTGCTGCAATATGGAGCAGCCTGATGACATTCACTGTTGACAGCCATAATAGCAAAAAGCCCATTGCCTTCAGCACAAGTAGAGATCAGATCCTGTCTCCAGGCTTTCCTTGCCACACCTTAGCAGACATTTTTAAGATTATACCCTTGTGCCTTATGAAATTTGGATATTTTTTATTTCTTCCAAGGAAGTATTACTTCACTGTGATTGATATATCATAAGTCTCAGTGTTGCCTCATGCTTAGATATTTGTTTACACAAAAATTTTGGATCTGGATAGTTTCTTTTAATAAAAAAAAAAAACCAACAAAATCCTTTTACATGCAAGAATTCACTAGAGGAGACTGAAACATTAATAAAACTTGCTTAAAATGCAAACTGCCATTTGAATAGGTTTTTTAAAATTTTTTTGTGTAATCTAGAACTTATGGATGATTGTAAAGGTTTCCTCACTCCAGTATTAATAAAAAAAGTTAGTTATACTAAAATAAGCATTTTTGAGTTACAGTTTTGACATTTTAAAAAGGATTTTGAAAGGGCTAGGAGTAATATCAGTTTATAAGTGCAGATTAGTATTATAATAATCTCCACAATAATGGAGATGTATAATATTTCTGAATAAATTAATTTGCTCATTGGTGTTCAAAGATCATATTATTTGGCATTTAAAAATATTTCAATGATTGATTTTCAATTAGAATGACATTTACATATCCTTACATTTCATTCAGTAATTAAAAGGTGGCATTAAGCACCAGCCATAACTTATTCTCCATTATTCTCCAATTAAAAAGGTCATATTAGCTGAGCTCTGACTGAGCAAAGCAATTTTTAAAACGAATAAAATTAGATTCCCCTAATGGGTAAGCATCAAATTGCTCAGCCACAAATGGTGAATACTAAAATGAACTATGCACAAATAATGAGCTTGGAATACTTTAAAAATATTCAGTATTAGGAAATAATGGAACCAGTTTGGAAATTTTCCCAAAATACCAGAGCCAAACATAACACGCTTCATTTTCACTGTTATTGAAAATATATATGCATTTTTTACTTATAAAACAGACTCACAGGGTTTTCTTTACTACAGAATTAGCTTGTATTTTGCCATATAAATTTAAAAGCCTGCTCCTGGCATCTCCTCAGTGACTTTGAACAGGTTCTCACAAAGCTCTGTGGTAAGGACCCTCATCTTGACTCATTGACCCTAGGACAGAGCTTTATTCCTTTCCATTTTTGCCTTTGGAATAAGCTTCCCATACAGCTGCAATTGTGATCACCCTTGGCTATCCACAACAATTTTTTATGTGGAAATTTAACATCAGAGGTCTGGGTTCAGGTGTCTTTCAGTGAATTTAGAAAAAAAAAAAAAAAAAAAATTGGTAAATTTAGAGACCACGAGAAAATGCACTGCATATCAGCCAGCTTGCTAAGTCACAGTTTAAACAACAGAGAGAACAGGCCTCATAGTGCAATAGCTAAGAAAACTGTACTATATGACCTAGATCAATCATCTGATGTTTTCTGAGCAATGTAAAGATCCACAGAATATTATATTTGTAATAAAAGACAATAACAAAACTTTTACCCGTGCAATGTTCAGGTATCAGTATCTCAATGCATATTAACTCATAAAAAATCATTAAGTTGACAATACCACTGTTCAAATACCAAAAGAACACTGTATCTGACTCATTTATGACAGAACTCCTCACACAGACCTCCTGTTGCTGATCAGATACATGACTCTTGTCCATCTCTGGCTTGTGCATCTGTATTCCAAGACCCTGAGAGGGCTCGATAGTTACAATGACTACACATATACACTCATTCTCATTCCCACAGACAGAGATTTTCCTGAAATAATTCAGCTTTGAACTATGTTTGGTGCTCAAAAAACAACCAGGCATAGCACTGAGTTTGTGTGATCTACGTGGTCCATGGTCTAGTTAACAAGGAGGTGATCAGTCTGGTTGGACTTGATGATGGCACAGGTCTTTTTCATCAGTTTTTGCAATAGGGCAAGGACATGGGAGAGTTTACTCCAGTACTCTAAAAGAAAGACTGATGTAGGGTTCTGTCTAACAGTAAAAGACATTACAAATATAAACAATGAAGAGCCAATTAATTTCAAAACCAGCTTTTATGTTTCTGAGTTACTATGACTCCTTCCCTCACAGGAGAGAATGTGTTTATAAACAGATCATCTAGCACAAAAAGAAGGGCTGTGAACTCAGTTTATAGGTGTTAGGGACCCAAGATGAGGTGAGTAAACACTCAGACTGGAAAGTGAATGTATGGGAAGAGATAAAAAGAGGGATTTATTTCCACTCAGAGAGGAGAGCACCAATATACCTCAGATATGTGTGAGAGACAAAGCCCGAGGGACAAACAGCAAGAGGGACCTCTTCATGGGGAGTCACCAGGCTGTGATGAGGCTGAAGCACAAAGACTGGGTGGGCAGCAAGCACAACTGCAGCCCAGACACAGATGTCTGGGGAAGGAAAGGCGAGAATAAAGAGGAACCCTCCTCTTCTTCAGTTTCCTTCTTTGTGTTGGTGTCCTTGTCCCCATTAAGCTGAAGTACAATGGCAGAAGGAAGCATGCAGGCTCCCCGGATCACAGAGAGGCCTTTTCATTTCTCCACACACGGGGGTCTCCCATGTAGGCTAAAGCCATAAGTACATTTGGTTTCTTCTGGGACTGGGCAGTCCAAATGCTTCTAAATGAATCATGACATACAACAGATTTTTTGCAATGGACTTTTTTTACTGCTGGAACATGAGTTTATTGCAGTGCTTTAGATGGATGGTTCAAATTTGCCTAAGTTCTGACACAGGCATCCAGCGTAGTATCTCTGGATTCTTTTTTGAAGACATAGAGTCCTTAATGTTACTCTGATGTGGGATTATATTCTGCCTGAGAAATAGTGGTTCAACTTGCTTTTGTTTTTCAGTAAACTTTTTAAAATCAAGGTTAATTCAAGGTTAATAACTATAATTTGGGGTTGAGATAGCATATTCTGAGATCATCAACAAAGATTCTTAGTAAAAAATACCATTTAACATAATTTTTTAAGAATCAGGGCACCAACCTTTTCAGTCAGTACTCCTTTTCCTAAGTTCATGGCAGTAAGTTTTCTAAGGATCAAGTGAGACTCAGTGATGTTGCTCATCTAAGTGTAACACAGAAAAATGACACAGTGTGTATTCATTTTAAAAGATACTACTTTTACAATTCTAATGCTGTTGGTCCAAATGTCTCATCACATGTACAGTTTCAAAAATTCAGTTGATGATTGGCTGCATTGCAGTTAATTATTGTCTTGCATGAAGGAAATCCTCATTTTGTTTTAACTATAGCACCAATACACAATGTATTCATTAATTTTGGACACAGCCATGTTCTATTGAGCAAGAATTTTAGTGTTTTTCATCAGCCAAAATACAGAAATAATACCTACCTTCTAGTCTAAGTGAACACATATTGGGCATGTACATGATTTGGCTTGTTTATTTTCCAAAAAGTAATTGGAAAGTTGGCAATACCATTACACTTTCCTGCTTGAACTACATATTTTCCCTGCTGTGCTGTTAACTACCTTATAGATAAAGATATACATTTGCTCTAAGATGAGCTGTAAAGGTTTATTACATGTAAATGGGATCACAGACATTATTTCTCACTATACTCATGATATAGAATTTAACACATATTTTCTAAAACTAAGTTCTAACCAGACAGGACAGCATTTAGGCAATAGCCATATCCATGCAGTGCACATACTGCATACTGTATTCACTTAAGTTAAAGTATGTGCTATGCCTCTGTGTGGAAATAATATGCCATCAATGTAAAAAATGCTAAAATCTTTCTGAAATTTTGCCTTTTCTTAGAAAAAGTATTTACATTAAATTATGCTATGAAGCCAAAGAATATATTTTTGGAGCAGAAGACTCCAGCATTGCTAATTTGAACTTATAAAATTTTAGCATCCTCCAAATATCACTTCTACTTGTTTCTTTTTACTTCTACTTGTTTCTTTTTACTTCTGAGACCAAATCTCTCATCACCTTACATTTAATATTTTTCTTCGTTTTTCTGTCAATGTCAGTAAAAAATGGAAGGAATTTTGTGGGACTGTCAGAGGAACTTAAATGCCTGAAAGAGAGAAGGACCTAAATGATGTGTTATTTTATTCTGCATT